AGAGAGAGAGAGAGAGAGAGAGAGAGAGAGAGAGAGAGAGAAAGGATATCAAGTGGTTTCTATTAGTGGCGGAAGAAAAATAAATAAAGATGTACCAGGCCTGGTCCCGTGACGCCGCTCCGAATGCCGTCCCGACAATAATAACCTATACACCAAACCCTACAAGAGGCCGCGGGCGACCAGGTGAATCTATGACAACGTGGTGGCCATCTGAAGAAAACAAAGCACCATTTCAAAAACACGCCTCAGAAGCGTGGCCCCGGAGAGCGCTGGCGCTGGGGATTCGTCGGCGGCATGTTACTCGGAGGGAAGGCCTGCGGGTTTTCGTCGAGAAGGTCTTCTAGGTAGGCACTCGGCGCGCGAGCGCCATGTGCCGGAGCCGCGAGGTTGAGGGTGCTGGTGCTCATCTCACGGCGAGCCGTGAACTGAGGCGACTCGGGTGGTGAATGCTGGGGCACGGCTCGGCCGACCGGGGCGCCGAGGCCATTGCCACGCGAGTCGGGGCGCGGATGCAGGTTGGTCAAACTGATAGAGTGCTGATGAGGGTTGCCGCCAGGAGATGAAGATCCCGCAGCGTAGAAACCAGAGGGGAGGAAGCGGGAGTCGCGGCTGCCGGCGGTGCCTGCGTTGGCACCAGCGGCAGCGGTGGGCGAGAAGAAGAGGTTGGACTGGCTTGGAGTTCCGGACGGGACGGGTCCGCGGTTGGTGCGTCGAACACCACGGCCCGCGGCGGCGGCGCCGGCGAGAGAAAGCGACGAGTTCTGATCGCTGTACTTGTAGAAATGAGCGGGAGGCGCAGGGAAGGCGGCCTTGTCGTTGGCGCTATGCTGCTCCATAGCGGCACGGCGGACAGAGCGATGCAGCAGACAGGCGACAATACCACGCCAGAGAAGGATGCCGAGGCCGAAGGCGCCGAGGATGGCTCCGACAGCGATGAATACAGTGCCCTCGGGAGCCGTCGAGTGTTGCATGAAGGGAGCGTGGAGGGTAGGCGGGACAGCGGCGGGGGCGTAGGTGGGAATCTCCAGGATGGTCTCGATGGTGGGAAAGGTCATGATGGCATCCCCATCGTCGGTGCCTCCAGTGATCTGAACATCGCCTCCTGTTGTCGTCGCCGTGCCCTGCGTCTGCGAGGTTGTCGCGGCGGTGGCTGTTGGTTGCGTCGCGGATTCACCCCCAGAAATGGTCACATCCGCATCGGCAGATGGCGATGGTGTCGCTGACTCCGCGGCCGTAGACGCCGCCGCAGCGGTGGTCTCCGCTTCGGCCGTGGGTTCTGGCTGTTCTCCAGCAGATGAAGGCTGGTTTGTGTTGGCATTATTGTTATTGTTGTTGCCGCCGTTCTGAGCAGAGGTCGTGGTGGCGAAGAGCGCCACAGCAGCGACGGCTGACGAGAGGACGGGCGAGCGCCGCCGGGCGACAAAGCCTAGGCGCACCATGGTCGGTCGAGCGAAGATTTGAGTTCGTAGGCGTGGATTGCGTGGTAGGCGTGAAAGACGTGGTGGAGGTCGTACAGACTTGCCGCTCTGCAAGGAACGGTGTCGGGGTCGCAAGACTGGTTGGCCTATTCGTCGCGTGCAGTGGGATAGCGTTTGAAATCGGACGTGTTGTGGAGACAGTAGAGGACGGGGGTTGCCGTTGGAAGAGATAGCCGAATAGAAGTAAACTGAGAAGAAGAGAAGAGAATGTTGGGCAGAGCTGGCGACAAAGCAACTGCGTGTATCGTATGGAAGCCGCGTGTCGATTGGGCCAAGTTGGTTACGAGAGCCAAAGTGAGGGCGAGGAGCCAGAGTGAGGGCTGAGGGCTGAGCAGGAGAGGAATACCTAGAGATCTGGATCTGCACACGGGCGGCAGCAACGGGGGGGCCAGGCAGGGAAGGCAGGCAAACGAATGAGGAAAGCAGGAACCACAGTGCTATTTTGCCATTTGACAGGGCAGGTTCAAAGGGGGGAAGGGGGAGAGTGAGAGAGAGTGAGAGGGGCGCAAGCGTGGAAAGGGGGGTCTCGGTCTCGGGCTGGGACCTGAGTGTGCCTGCCCGCCCTGTCTAGGATTGCTCACCGTGTGGCTCCATTCAGGTCCACCGTGAAATACATTAGCTCATCGAGGAAACGACTGGCGGATCGACGGCTGCCAGACCCTGGGTGCACTGTGTTCGTATTGGCACTGGTGCATCCCATCGTTCCAGTGCCTCCCTAAAAACAGCCCTCGAAACCCCCAGCCCCTGCAGGTCATTCGCGGTGCTTATTGCTGCTCTGTCCGACATGTCAACCCACACGAGGTCATCATATGGCATTGCATTCCATTCGATTCGTGCTATTGTCCTCCTCTCTCTCCTCTGACGGCTTTTGACGTTGGGGGGCTTGTCGTCGCAAAAATAACCAAAAGAAATGGTAGACACGGCAAACGGCGTCAAGTGGCAGATTAAACCAACGCCTAACTGTTAGTGGCTGCAGGGCTCAACGGGCCTAGCGGCGTGGCAGGCGTGGCAGGTGCGCCTGAAGCGTGGTTCACCAATCACTCAACCGCCGCTCTGCGTCTGCATCATCCATCACAGCACGGCACTTGGCAGCAGCCGCGAGCCACCTGGCCGTTCATTATCCCACAAAAGTCCCGTAGAAGATGCATGTCTCCACTAAAACTTTTTTACACCCCGCCGTCGACGACAGGCGAGATCTGGAAATCCCATCACATCAGCCTTGCGATCCAGCCTCGCCTGACTTTTCTCTCCCCAACGACCTCACCTCTTCCTTCCGCCCATCCGCAGCCAACAACCACCATGGGTGTCCAGAAGAAGACCCGCAAGTTCGCCGAGGTACGCCGTCCTCCCTTTCTTCGCACCCTGCCTCTCTTCTTCAAGAACCCCTCTGCTGCTGGTTACCCCCCATACTAACGAAAGGTCTCCGATGATCACAGGTCAAGCGCGTCATCGGCAAGAACGATGCCCGTCGCAAGGAGAACCTCGCCAAAGCCGAAGCCCTCGCCAAGGCCGAGAAGGCCAAGAAGGCCGGCCCCGACGGCGAGCTCGTCCGCGCCGTGCCCCAGATGCCCTCGCAGATGTTCTTCGCCGCCAACACGTCCCTCGTGCCCCCCTACAGCGTCCTCGTCGACACGTCCTTCTTCAGCCGCACCGTCCAGATGAAGCTGCCGCTGCTCGAGACCATGATGGACTGCCTCTACGCCACTTGCACGCCCATCGTCACCGACTGCGTCATGGCCGAGTTGTCCAAGCTGGGCCCCAAGTTCAGGCTCGCTATGCGCGTCGCAAGGGACGAGAGGTGGGAGAAGGCGAGGTGTACGCACAAGGGTGTATGTTTGATTGTCTCTTGGCCTCTGCATGGGGCTGGATCGCTCAGGTTCGCGTTGTTCTGACACGGCATATAGGTTTACGCAGATGACTGCATCGTGGACAAGGTCCAGAAGGACGTAAGGCCTCCTCTTCCCCTCTACCGGACCCTCCTCAAGACCAACTTGCTGACTTGTCGCAGAGAATCTACATCGTTGCAACACAGGATAAGGGTCTGCAGTCCCGCGTCAGGAAAATTCCTGGTGTGCCCATCCTCAAGGTTACAAGAGGAAAATACATCATCGAGAGGCTACCGGGTGCGCCGGACTCATAGAGCGTGCGTGGCAACAAAAAGAACAAGAAGAGACATGGCTATGGCGTTGACGGGATGATTTATGGCGGCGTTCTGTCTTTCAGTCTATTTTCTTGTTTTCAATACACGGTATTGGCCCCGTGAGGATCGCAACGGACTTAGGACCTCTTAACCCCGTCCGAGCTCCTATCGTGAACTCAATTCTCGTGCTTGGTCCAGCTCAATCTGCGACGGCAGTTTTCTCTCCACACACGCATACCTCGCCTGACACAGCCTCGGTTTGCGCGTGTGTGTGCTTGGCTCTGACGAGTACAAATCCCAAGAGTGGTCGCTAGAAATCTATATCTCAACCGGGACGATCCTGCTCTGGTGCGTACCCCGCAATCTGCCCTCGTCTGTCAGCAACCGCCTGAAACTGCACCGAGTTGCCCAAATGCACTGGCGACTCCTTCATATCCCTGACCCCTACAGATTGAGCGTATTCAAAGACGCGGAGACGTATCCATCCGTGAGACAACATCTCACTCCCCGCCCAAACAGGCCGCAATTGCAAACCACAGCCTTCTTTTTCTTTCTCCTCTCCATGGACGGCAGCACCTCCTCCCGATCGTCCGACAACATGGACACGGACATGAGTGGGGCACCTGATGATAGGTCCGGCACAGGACCCGACACCCTCGGTGAGGTGCATCTCAGTTCCGGCTCCGCCACCGGCGTCGCCGCTACCGCCGCCAAGCGCTCCCGTGTCCTGCTCTCCTGCGCTGCGTGCCGCGTCTCCAAGCTGAAATGCGACCGCTCGAGCCCATGCGGCCAGTGTATTCGCAAGGGCCGCCCCGAGGCGTGCCAGTATGCGCCCAAGCCGCAGAGGAGGAAGCCCAACCAGAGCATGGCCTCACGGCTGAAGCGACTCGAGGGCATGGTGCGCTCCATGCTCGAGGACGGGGACGTTGTCGTCGATCCTTCGCAAGGGCCGGCAGAAGCGGCGCCGCCACTACCTCCATCCGTAAGGGTTGCGAAGGGCCTGAGAGCAAGCGGGCAAGTGGTGCATGGCGAGAGGGGGTCAACATATATCGGTGCCACGCACTTTATGGCTATGCTTGAGGACGTGAGTTGGCTTCCTCTTCTCCTCTTACCCGTTGGACCCCTGCTGACAAGTTGAGCTGGTAGATTGAGGATCTCAAGAGCTTCTTCGACGAAGAGCAAGACACATTCGACCGTCTTCCACAACAGAAATCTCATGTATGGGACGAGTACGAGGTTCCTGGTGTCCTACTGTTCTCTAACAGTGACCCCACCTCACCTCGCAGCTTGAACGAAGTGATTAGTATCCTGCCTGATCATCGCATTGTCGATCGGCTTGTGATGAGATACTTCGCATCCAAATTCCCTTCCCTTTGTATGTCCCCTGTTGCACCCTTCCATCGTCGTCACTGCGCCCCGTCGACCCCAGCTGTGTACTGAATTGACTCACCTCGCAGACCTCATACACCGACCTACATTTCTCAAACAGGTAGGTACAATGAAAGCGCGTTCTAGATTGACAAAGCAGGCTGATCCTGCTCGACATAGTACCGTGAGTTCTGGCTTGACCCCAGTGGCATCGACTATCACTGGCTGGCGCAGCTCTTTATGGTTATCTGCCTTGCAACACACTTCTCCACGTACACGGCCCCCCACGAGCTCGCGCAAGACTCGCCTGAACCGCCCTTCGAGAAGATGAAGCGTTTCAGGTCCACAGCCGCCTGGTGTCTTGTCAAGGGCAAATACCACCAGCCAACAGAGCAGACGATAGCCTCGTTCCTCATGTACGCCGAAACAGAGTTTTTGCTGAATCGTAACTCGCAAATGAACTGCTATTTGTTAGCATCCACTGTCATGAGACTAATGCTCAAATTGGGTTTCCATCGGGATCCGAGCAAGCTCTCTCATATAAGCGCCTTTCAAGGCGAGATGCGAAGGAGAATGTGGCATATGGGCATGACATTGGACCTGCTCGTCTCTTTCCACATGGGCTTGCCGCCTATGATCCATGGCATCGACAGTGATGTAGCGCTGCCACGGAATGTGCTCGATCGAGATTTTGGCCCCGAAAGCACCGAGCTGCCACCACCACAGCCAATGACGGACTACACAGACCTGACATATCCCCTGTGCAAGAACAAGCTCATGATATGTTTTGGGCATGTGGCGCGGCTGGCGCACTTGCTGACGCCTCCACCTTATTCAGAGGTACTGAAACTCGATAGCAGTATCCAAGAAGCCTGGGATGCCGTCCCGGGGTTCATGCGGGTGCGACCCATTGAAGAATCAGTAACAGACCCTGCGACTCAGATCATTCAGCGGTTCGGCCTTGCGTCCATCTATAACAAGAGTCGATGTGTGCTCCATCGTCGGTTTTTGGTCGAATCCATTATGAAGAAAGAGCACGACTACTCCCGGGTCCAGTGTTTGAATGGTGCTGTAACCATGTTGGAGCACCAGTACCATATATGGCACATGTGCCAGCCCGGCAATATACTCAACCAGCATGGATGGTTCGTATCCTCCTTGGCGATACATGACTTCCTCTTGTCGGCCATGATTATATTCCTGGTAATCGACAATGAAAAGTATCCGCAAGAAAACAGCGGCTTCGGTGACAAAACTGTGCCAAGCAAGGCAGAACTAGTGAGGCTATTGCACCGAGCCCATGGTATCTGGCGTTTCGTCGCGAGAGATCTGCCGGCGGTCAAAAAGACGGCTGACATTGTCGAGACGATGTTGCGCAAAATTGGATCTCCGCCAGGAATCTCTCCCGAATATTATGAAAACAATGAGTCAGAACCTTCACCAGAAGGCCACG